CAGTGGTTATAGGGAATGATAGGTGGCCAAATAGTCTTCCTTCACCTCCGCCAGTACATTCAGTGGTTTGGGGAAAGGAAAGGGACTGATCAGTGGGGAACCTCCAGTAAACCAAACTGTTACCTCTTCTAGGCCAAATTAGTCTGTAGACCAGCAATTCTGCTCACCTGCTGTACAATCTCCTCCAAAGTACTACCTAGTCTTGTTCTTGTTACCTATTGCTCATAACATTATTCATTACTTTTTTATCATTGGACATTTGCAGAACAGAGATATTAGGAGTCTGGCTGCTGGAGCCTTTCCAAACAGTATGAATCACAGATGACGGCTGAGCACACAACACTGCCAGGTGAAACCAAAGAATGTAATCTCTGGATATAAGCATATCATCGAGTTTAGCTATCGGTATTCAAGGCTTTAGTAGAACAACAATTCCTGTGTTATATGCTAAAAAAACAAACTTGTCCTCTTCTGATTGCAATCTGCATGTATAACTTCCACTCATAAATAGCTCCTTTTATACTCAACATCTGTGGGAAAAGCTGCTTCCCAAGCTGGCCTCATGCCTGCCAAATAAAACCCAGAGGAAATTGCCCAGGCTGTTCTGAACACTACTGTGAGAGAGGTCAAGGTTTAAGAATGACCTTTGATCCCACATCTGAACCCCTTAAATGGTAAGTGTTTAAGGGACTGGGAGGATGACGTATAGCAAGATGGCAAAAGTCTTCTTCATTTTAATAAATGGCCTCATGGCTATTAATAGCTTTGTAGGCTATTCCTGGAAAGCATTATCATCTGACATTTTAGGAAATGGCTATGATGGCCAAAAAGATAACACTTAAAAATGCTTGGCTTTTCATAACTTTCATAAGACCTTAAGTAATAACATAAGGCAGGCTGTGGCATTACAGAAATAACATTTATATATGGTTCATTTCACATCCTCTGCGTAACATAAGAATAAGCCAATGTATAACCTGGGAAACTTACCATATCCAGGACTCAGCAGCTGTCCTTGAGCAAGTTATTTTCTTGCTTCACTTCCTCATCTATAAATTCAAGACTAGTGATCTAGTCAGAGGATGGGTGGAGGTTTTAATGACAGGATGAACCCTCTCAGTGTACGGACAGGGAAAATGTATTAATAACCAAAAGAAAGATCAGCCTCTTATACAAAAGCCTTTGATATAGCAACAGACATCTTTATCTCTAAGAGAGTATAGAAGCAACATGTTTCCTGTTCTTCTTTGGAATCTTTCTGCATTTCCGCACATTCAGGCATATTGTGGCTAACTCTTCCCACCAATAAAATCGGTGTGTCCATTAAAGCCTTTATGGCCCTTCCTGATTTCTCATGTTGTATTCACCCACCAGAAGAACAGTTTTGGCTTTTCCTTTGCAATCCAGCACTTTGAAGAGAGAGGGTATCTGAGGTTTCAGAGAGAAGAAAGGAAGGGAAAATCCTTTTCTACAGCCAGAAGTGTGTTCGCATTCAATTTTGAATTGAAACTTCTGTTTGTCTTGAATCCTCAGCACCTGGATAAAAAGTGTATATTTATCCATTGTGATGTAATACCATTGTAGACTCGACTTCATATAGCATAAAAGTATAGTTTTAGCCACATAATGGATGATTATTTTTCAAAAGTAATCATTGCTTATGACCTGATGTGTGTGTATGTGTGTATACACAAGTTAAAAAATTGCCAAAATGGCCAAAATGCCCTAAATGACATCAGAAAAACATATGGCAGTACATAAATGTTACCAGTCATTACATCATCTGTTTGTCTTCATATCCCCAAAAGAAATGCTTTTTATAGATGGCATTGTTACTTTGGACATGATACTTCCAAGTTCTGGTTTAGTGCATTCAGTATCACAGAGGATCTATTAAAGTTGGAGGCTATAGTGTGCAATGTACATGTATTTAGTCCTGTGTGTCACAGCATCAGTATCTAGTAAAGAGAGTTTCCTCTTACAACTTTACATCTATTCAGGTTTGTTCTTTACTTCCCCTAACCCCTATATTAACTTCATGCAACTTTGCTTTGTTTTTGACTCCATCTGCATTGCAGAAATAATAGTTGATTCACTTGTGTACTGCAGACATGAAAACTATTAATGGTGCTTTTAACATGCATGGCTGAATGGATATTGTATTTCAGTTATATTTCTGTGGTAGCATGTCTTTGTCTATATGTGTCTATTCTTTTCTTTCATTGAGTTCAGGTCAATTAGTGTGTGGATTATACATATTTCATGGCCCTTTAGTAGTTGCTGTTTGTGGAGTGCTCCCTTTTTGCTGTATTCTTTGTGTATCCTCATATCCCATGAATGTAAACATGAAGGTAAATGTTTTACCTCAATTTCATTTAACTGATGGATGAACTGAAGCTTTTATTTTTTATATTTCAATATATATATTTAGTATAGTTCATTAAGAAAACAATGAAAATGCTAACATAATAATAAATGTTATCAAAATAATAAACAACTTTGATCAACACAAGATCAAATACCAGAAAAATTAAAACAAGTTCATAAGATGTTAAAAGAACTGGGAACATTAAAAAGATATATATTTAGCTGTTGCCAGAAGGATAAAACTGGTATGCCTGGCAACCTTCCTGGAAAGATAGTTGCATAGGCATGGTGCCATCAACAAGAAGATGTCCTCCCAGTGATTATGCAGTTTGACTAATTGGTAGCCCTTTAAAAAAAATCTCAGTGTGGATGCAGGTAAACATAGGAGCAGCCTTCCCTCTGGAACCCAGATCAATAATGGGTTCTTAGCATTTAAAACTTCCAGTTTTTCCCCATGTGATAAACTCCTATGTGTCTGCAAAAAATTCACCTCCAGTGACATAATGGAAGAGGCTACATTACAGTGAGGGAAAGGCTGCTTGCACTGGTCCCAGGTCTGGCCAAGCAGGCTGTAAGCCTGAAAGGAGGTTTTTGCAATGACCAAGAATCACAGCTACCATGAGACTTCAGTGTGTAATCTCAGATGAGATCTCACGTGAAATCTCAGGAAATTGAAAGCCTTGCAAGACCTGATGGGATTTCAGCTGATATACAGGCCTGCTCATTTTCTGGATGACAATTTACAGCTGAATATTCAGTGTGACTCACCTTCCCTATACAGACCTAGGAATGAATTTTCCTTGCTGTTTTAGCATGACTGATTTGTTTCTTTGTTTTGCTTTCCCTCAGTTTTCACCCACTTTATGTGGGATTCTTCAAGTTTTACTGTCACTGATCCAGTTTATGGGTCTTTACAGACTGCCAGAAATAATGCAGCTTGAGATCACTTTAACTGTCCTGGCTCAGTGCTAGGGAATCATGGGAATTGTATTTTTTTCTGGGACATTGAGCCTTCTCTGCCAGAGAGCTCTGGTGCCACAATAAACTACAGTTCCCATGATTCCCTAGCACTGAGCCAGGGCAGTTAAAGTGATCTCAAGCTGCATTATTTCTGGCAGTCTATAAAGGCCCTATGTTTACTTGGCCTATGGTCTACTATGTGGTTGTTTGAGATCTCCTTTATTACAACATGGATACAGTATGTGGATGCAGGGAGAGAGAACATGAGTATGAAGAGAAGGGGAGGAATGCTGAACACTATACAAATCTGGAAGGAGAGGCCCTGGGTGGAGTGTGGATAGAGGACTGAGGGGGGGCTAACTTGTGGTTAGCAGTTTGGGCACACCTCTACTGGACTGTTCTGATCACTCCTAGGATTGGCATATGTTAGTAAGCATTAGCTATCATTTACCAGATGTCTTAACTATTTCGTACCTGGCTTAGAAAAGTATCGGTCTGGTTTACCTAATGCATCAAATTCTCTCCTTCTTCCTTTCCTTGGTGAGAAATATTTAGGTTTATGATAATTTATGTATAATAAAGTTGTAGACATCCAGATTTATCCCATAATTTTGGTGTCTGTCCTCTCTGTCTCAGTGCAGCTAGCCTTCTTTCCCAAGCACAAAGGTTTGCTAAAGGGTTGGCTGGTTGCTGAGTCACTGGTTATGTAATGCAAGTGGACTGAGCCAGTGGCGTCACTAGGGTTGGCATCACCCAGTGCGATAACTCATGGCATCACCCCCCATTGACCTTCTTCCATCCTACACCATACAGAATCTTTAGTCATGTTTTTTATACTAATGTTACTCACTAATTGTAATTCCTGTTTATCACTGAATGTCATGGTAATAGTTGTTACATAAACAACTAGCAACATTAAAATTTTACCTTTAAATTACAATGTCATACACACAGCCTAAATGCATTTACATATACACAGTTTCATGTGGTTAAAGTGAAAATTCTGTAAAAGGTGATGTTTTTAAAGAAAATTTTAAAAGAATAAATTTTTTAAAACCGTTTAGAAACTTTTAGGTTTTTTTAAATTTAATTTAAATTAAAAAAAACACCTGAGACCTATTATTTCTCCTGCCACTGAGCCTCACCCCACTTATGCCATGTCTTCAGCATTTTAATGGGATACAGGCAAATGCCACAACCCATTTCTGCCAAAAAGCAGATGTTTGAGAAGCAATGATGTCAACCCCCTTTAGGATGTCACCTGGTGTGGTCTGAACCCCCTGCACCGCCCAGTGATGCCACTGGACTGGGTTGTTGTTGTCTACTTTCAAGTCATTTATGACTCATGACAATCCTCAACCAACCTATCATGAGTTTTTCATGGCAAGATTTGTTCAGAGTCTTTGCCTTTCTCTAAGTGTGAGAGAGTTGATTTGTCCAAGATCACCCAATGGGTTTCCATGGCTAAGTAGTGTTTTGAACCCTGGTCTCCAGAGTCATAGTCCAACACTCAAACCACTACACCACAATGGCACTCAAGTGGACCCAAATGAAAAAGATGCCATGGTTCTGCAAAGAGAATCAGTGGTCCAGGAACTCTGGGCCTCAGCAGACGGAGGCCCCGGAGCCGCCGCCGAACGGA